GGCATCAGCAACTGAATGAACTCAGGAGAATACAAGATTAATATAAAAAAGATTCAAGAGAAGCAGCAGCCAACAGTCTTGATACAAGATGAGCAGGGTGAGGAAAGATAAATTGGCAAGTGAAAGAGAAAGGAAGGTTTGGCTTGGTGAAGCATTACTAGATCAGCTTTGGCTGTGCGGCATGTAGTATGGCACCTAACAGTGTGACAGATAAGAGGCAGGAATATAAACAAAGTTCAGAGTACTGCAGTTGTCAGTTGCTGCTATATTTAGATGCTCTTCGGTGCTGGTACATTAATATGCTCTTTGGTGCAGAGGCTCTTCTTTTTTTTCTGCCTCTATGTCCCTTCTCCATGTACTTCATCAGGAATTAGCACACAGCTCTTCTTTTGCCAGGGTCTGAGAGTCTATCACAATACCCAATTATATAGCACCGACATAGATGACCATGGCAAAATAAAGATCATTCACTGATAGTGCACTCTCTATACTCCATCTGTGGACAAGTGTTTTAAAAAGTTTTTACCTTATTCTCTACAGTACACTTTAATCTCCTTTTTGCTTGGACAATACATGCAAGAGGAGCATAATATTCCTTAACAAGTCACCATCTGTTCTCGAGATCATTTGAGACTGTAATGAATGACTCATCTGTGTCCTTACTATCCTCAGAGGCTCTTTTTCCCAGATTTATAGAGATACTGTCTATTCTTTGGAGGTTTGAGTAATAAAATGTCTCTCCTACTTCTGTGCAGTTGTTTTTTTATATACAAGTATATGATGTTCTGTACTGTAAAATAATGTTGCTCCCTTCAGTAACAGGATCCCAGACCTGTCTCTTTTGGCACTTCACCAACAGATCAGGATAATAATTGGAATATGTCACTGTTTCTTGCAGACCTTACCTTTACTTTGTTTGTCATGCGACTCTGTGAGAAACTGAGTGATGCGGTCTGAAGGAATAGCAAAAGAAATTCCAGCTGTGACCTTCAAGGTGTTAATCCCAATCACTTCACCATCCTGTTGAGAGACAGCACCCAATTAATCTGCTCCTAAGGGACAGGGTTAGGCTCACTGCCTAGCATTTCATGTTAAAAGCTGGTGTAAGAAATTTTAGAGTGTTGCAATCACTGAAGAAATAAACATTACTTGTAAGGGAGGATCTGGGCTCTGATTCACAATCCTTATTGCATTTAACTGTGATGGCCAGAGAGATTACAGTACAGTTTGTTCATCCAAGGTCCATCCCACCACTCGGCAAGAGATTCCCAGCAGGCTGTGGAGTCACTACTACCACTACAGCCACAATTCACCAATCTGCAAAATCAGTGCTGGTTGAAAGCAATTTATTTTAAAATCAGTAGTGTGGATTAACTAGGTCAAATCTTTGTCGTGCATCCCAGGTTTCATGCTCTGAACAAGCACTAACTGCTCCTACCAAATTAAATTTTCTTCACTGCCATATAAAACTTCCTCTGCTTCATGGGAAAATGTTTTTCAATGGTGTATGAACTGAGACCTAATTTGCATTGTTTGTATTAGCTTCAGGGTACCTGCCTACCATTAGCTTGAATGACTTAAGCTGGTATGATCCACAAATCTTTTCCAAAAAATCTCTCCCACTTATTTCAGACTATCTGTTAAAACAAAACAAAATAAAAATCAAGTCATCTGGACTTACCAGATTAACTAGAGGTCCTCCAGAGTTGCCGTACTGTAAAAATGACATAAGGGAACAATAAATTGGTGTTTCACTGAAGGAAATGCAGTTTTCGTTTCAAACAGCATTTTGTTTGTAAGAGAGCACGTCATTTCTTAGGCAGTACTGAAGGACACAATATTGATCACAGAAGATTACAGGTAGGCCTTACCCTACCTGATCACACCTCCTACAATTAGATATTTTTATCTTTACAGAAAGAAGCCTTAAGCTAGGAGCAGCAACTTACCACTCCAAATAATTAGACCTAAGTTTAAGAAGAATCATTAAATAGTTAAAACAAGTATTTTTATTCTGCTAAAGACTGCCAGAACAAGGTTTTGAAATAATTACTTGCTATTTAAAGTTATATTTCAGTGAAGTGCACATACAGGTCTTAAGTAGTTTTATTCATCACTTCGGTTTGGAACATTTTCAGTCTCTCTTATTGTCCACCAGAAAAGAACACAGTGCTCGCCATGTTTAACCAGAGCGTATGAGGTAGGTACTACGTAAGGATTCATTTATTAACTACAGACCTGCAGCCCTCTCTAGGGAGGGCATATAGCAGCTTTGAGCAGTCTGAAATTGTCTAATGGCCTGCAAAGGAAACATCCAACAGGAAATGGGAGCTGGAGAAGTTCCTTGTTCATCTTCATGCTGGCTCAACAAGTTTGTTTTTGAGTGAGACCAGGGTTTTCAAGTAGGTGTACTGAACAGCCAAGAGCAGCAACTTACTACTCAAAATAAACAAAAGCTAAGTGATGCATGACAGCAACCTGAGCCATATAAACTGTTTACACTTAGATAGCACTGAGCAAACCTTACAGATTCTCAGAAGAATAAATCAGACATTAAAGTTTTTAAAACAGCTTCCAAGTTCAAGTTTAAACAAAGAGATCAGTTTCTTATGTTGTAACTTTTCAGTGATCAGAGGGTACACACTTGATTTTTGTGTCTGACTGAAACAAAGGAACCAAGATAATGGAGTTTTCAGCCCTCTCCAGCATATCATCTTTCATTCATTTGTCCTCTGCTTGAATTGATGATAATGAAAGAACTTCTGTATATGCAGTACAGCTTCACTTAGGAACGTATGGTCCCGTTTTCTGCTGCCCCATATTCCTACTCTCCTAGCATTTCTCAGAAGGCAGCTGCATGCACATTCCTGCAGGGAAGTCTTGGCTGAGCCACAGGAATGCTCTGAATAGACCAGCTCTCAAACTCCTCCCATTCTCAAGAGAAAACTAGTGCATTAGCTAAGCACAAAGCATCCCCATGCCAGGGACTATCTTCATATTTTTTTGGTCTCAGATGGCAAAGCAATTCAGATCTATTGTCATTTTCCTTACCTCTTCTACTATCACTATTCCGTTTGGTCTAGCATTACCTGACATACTCTGCTATCTTTGTCTAAACTTGCTCATTAGCTTTTGAGGGCACTGAATGCCTAAGTATAATACAAGGAAGCAGTTTGATCTTGAGGAATGTGTATAGGCATGAATTCAAGAATCCCACGTTCTAATTCTGCCTCTGTCACCAATTCAGTGTGTGCTCTCAAGTAACCCATTTCACCTAAGTTTCCCTATTCTCCTTTTACAACTGAAGAAACTAATTCCAATTAAATGTCTTAAAACCCTCAGCTCCTGGATCATATTGGAGCTTCCTGAAAAAGATCACTTTTGTGTGATATCTTAGCACAAAAAAGTAATTAGCCTCTTTTTTCTGTACTATTTCTTTCAAGAAACCTGTGATGATCGACATTTGTGAAGCCCTTCGGACTGGTAAAATGCTAAGCATTATGACTTGTTATGTCAAAATTGGTATTGAGTTCCAGCAAATAAATGCTGAAAATATTTTCATTTCAATGTCTAACAGATTTAAGTTGTAAAATTTGAGGCCATTTTCTACCTCAGCTATGTGTGCAGTACTCCTTTTAGACTCACTACAAGTTATACAGGCACCCAAGGACTTTACTTAATCTCTTTGTATTCCTCCAAGCTACTCTGAAGGGATATTTTCATGTATTTCTATACAACATGCAGTGCAAGGACCCTTAACTCCGAACTGTGTCTCAAACTTTACATTCTTTTATATCTAGATTCTTGGAATATGTGATGTGGAAAGGGAAAGCAAGAACAACAAAAAACCCAATCCTCTCCTTAAGTTCTTACCTGAGTGTCCTGCCATTAAATTCAAGCAGCTACTATCAACTTGACTACTCCATCTGGTTCCAATGCACAGAGATAAAAGAAACCTTGGTTCTATTCTACAGCTTGCTTGGCCAGATCAGCTGAACAAGCAGAGAGAAAAGTGTTGATTTACTGTTGGTCTATAAAACCACCTGTTACTGCACAAGATCTACAGAATGAGAAGGGTCTGCCATATGTAACATCTTCATAGACAACCTCAAAGAAGGCAGTTATTTAACATACCTTTCACAAAACTAATGTCTGAACACAACTTATAGACACTGGGTAGTATTTTATAAAAAGAAGAACCTATCACTGATTTTAAACAAGGTGCTTTTATTTAGTGGATTCACCTTTCAGAGCACACACTTCCCTGCTGAATAGAAGGGGATTTCAGGGTCTCAGGACTGAAACTCAGCTCCTCACATACCTAGTACTTACATTGATAATAGCATCTGTCTGAACATAATCCATATCCGAGTCCCGCAAGCCAAGTTCTTTGCCGTCTCGCTGAGCAGTGCTGACAATCCCTGTTGTCACAGTGTTCTGTAAGGCAAACGGACTTCCAATCGCCACCACAAACTCTCCTGGCCTCAGATCAGCAGAGTGTCCCAGTAACAACACTGGTAGTTTTTTCTTAAATAAACATGGAAAGAAAGAAATAAGCATTAGTTTATACCTGAAAATAACCTGACTGGAAATACCAAAAACTAGCAAGAAGTTAGGAACGTACACTTTCCATTACATTAATGAGAGAGCCACTCACTACATTATACACAAAACTTATGCCTGGTAAAATAGTATACTGAAGGGTGTTACTGCTTCAAACTGTGTACAGAAAAACACTGCTAGCAGCAGTACCTTTCAGTTTAGTCCACAAAAAAAAGCCAGCAAGATTTTGAAACAGATTTCCCCATTTTCCAGCAGATTCTTCCCTCCTCTTCCTAGAAACAGCGTACAACCCAGCCTGCCACTCTCCCTACACTATGTACCACCTTGCAGTCTATGTATTGGCACAAAGTTAGAAGGATAAGCCAAAATAGCCTGTGTCTTCAGGTAAAGACAGCACAATCTGGCCACATATTAACTGACCTGCATTTTTTTCTTCTTCTTTAGCAGTTCCTGGCACAGAAGACACATTAAAATTGAATTCTAAAATATGAAAAATTCCAGGCCTACAGAAACATTTTAAGTACATTGTTTTCCTCACATATATTTCCAAGGAATCCCTAAATGTATATTTCAGCCAATCACTCTATGCTAACTGTAACTCAAATAGGGTTCCTAAATCAATTAATTCATCTGTTTATGCCACTCACCTTAGGGTGAATCTTAATTGTTGCAATGTCAGATTTTTTGTCAATGTCTCTGATGGTTGCTTCATAGGTATCTCCATTCTGTAGCTGCACTTTCAATTGTTGTCTCCCTGATATAGCATTGGTGCTTGACACCACATGGGCATTGGTCACAATTAAACCAGAATCAGACATAATAAACCCAGATCCACTCGAAAGTGGGACATTTCGACCAAAGAGAGGGTGCCTGTACAAAAAGCAAGTAATTAAAACTCCTAAGGGAAGAATAACTTAGAGAAGTAATGCAATATTAGAAATCATTTACCACCTTTCACCCTGAGAAATACGGAAGCATTTGATGACCAATGTTACAACCCTTACAAGAATTACATTTAAAAAAAAAACTGAGAAAAGATCCTTTTCTGAAAACTGTGACTGCTTTAGTCAGCCTAGAAGACTGGAACTGAGGTTTTCAGACAACCCGCAGCGTTTCAGACAACCTTTTCCTTTGGTTTCCAATTCTATCTTTACAGGTTTCCTTGCAAAGACGTGACAAAAAGGGAAGGAGAAGGAGCACATCTGACCCCATCGGAAATTACAGGAAATAGTAGGGCTGACAAATGGACTGAGTCCCTAATGGGAAAATTGGAAGAGAGAACCTTTCAGCTGGACAGAGGAGTAAAGGAAGAGGTGATGTCTCAGGGAATCAAGAAGCTCAAGTGTAGACTGGCAGGAAAAAGCATGTCTGGAAACTGAAAGAACTGGTTATGTGAAAAAAAAGACATGAAAAACACTAACAACGGGTAAAATCATGGTTAAAAACAACATTTGCTGCAATGTTGGCAGTTAAAAGACTTTATAAACTGTTTAAAGGATTATGACTTTTCTTTATGAACAATTGCTGTAACAACCTTAGATCTGTTAGGGGAACAGAAAGTGCTTGGGCAGTAGAATACAAGAAAGGTCCAAAAATTATTATTATTTCTTCCAAGATGTGGTCCTTATTAGGAAATTATCTGAAAGTTGTAAGCTATTCAGCAGCAAAGAATTGGAGCCAATTGCAGGCAGAAGGCAGGATTACAATTAGTGCCCAACAGGCTGCTGGACAAACATTTACTTATAGGGAAAG